GGTATCATCGGGCCTACAAACAAGTTGATATAAACAAAAGTGAAATAATTATGGTGAATAAACAGCAGGTGGCTGTAAGGCAACTAAGGATTAAGGAAATAAATTAATGAGTAAAATGACAATAATAAAAGGCAAAAAAATATATATCTCTGCATGATGAAAGATTCATTATAGATCACAATGAACATAATTAAAGAATAAGTGTATACATTATAATATAATGTAATGTGCAATGCTATGCAGATTTACATATTTACTGAGAGGCCTGGGTCTACCAATAACCTAAAGGTGCTCTCCAACTATACAGTAGTCCCTGTCGATCTGGATCACGATGGACTATGTTCTAGTTTCGCTTACAACTGCTATCGTCCTCAGTTATTTAGGAGACGATACCATCGAAAAAAGAAGTTATCTAGACCAGTTGCTTACTACGCTAATCACGATGCTTTTGGTCGCTTACTCCAAAGTACTGACGGTGACATACATCCTAACCCGGGTCCGGAGAGTGACCAGAGTCAAGTAAAGAAAGCTGTGTCTTGTTTATACTTCAATGCCAGAAGTATTGTAAATAAACTTGTGGATTTTCAAGCACTTCTCGAAACGGAGAAGTTACAAGTTGTTCTCTTAACAGAAACATGGATGGATTCTTCAGTACTGGATTCCAAAATAGTTGGAACTGATGTTACGTTATTTAGGCGGGATAGAAACAGGCATGGAGGGGGTGTTGCCATTGCTGCGTCTAATGATCTTCATCCTTGTATAACCGATGAGTTTTCCCATCCTAATATTGAGTTGATCTGGATAGAAATCAATCACGATAATGGCAAATTACTGGTTGGTTGACTATATAGGCCACCCAACTCTCGAACTGATTTTTACGATAAGTTACAAATCTGCATTGACAATGTATTCCATCATATGCATAGATGTCATAGTATAATTTTAGTAGGTGACCTAAATATCAATTATGATTCATACTCTCCTCCTCTGTGTCGGCTAAAATCAATAGTTGATACTCTTGACTTTTCCCAACATGTCACGTTCACATCACGATCCGTGAATAATCCATTTAATGAAACCTGTAATAATATTACTGATCATCTTTATTGTAATAGGCCAGAAGTGATAGATAATGTTGTTTCCCATCCTGCTCTTCCTGGTTGTGATCACCTAGGCATTGCATTTACTTATAAGTGTAATTTCAAAACGCATTTCTTTTCCCATACTGGTACATTTTTTCAATATTCTAAAACAAATGTTAATGATTTCTTAGAAAATTTCTCTCGTACTTGTTGGGATACTTGTTTCGAACATACTGATATTGATACAATTTGGTGCAATAAGTTTCTAGATAACATTTATAAATTAATTCCACAGCGCAAAGCAAAACGAAAACCAAAAAAAGCCGTGGATTAATATGAAACTTTTAAAACTCATAAGGAAAAAAAATCGACTGTATAAAATCGCAATGCGATCTTGTCTTGATTCTAGCTGGGGACGTTATAAGGCGTGTAGGAATAAAGTAAAACACGAGTCCAATGCTGCCTACCACAAGTATATTACTTATCTAGCTGATAAGTGTTCGGATAACGGCAAGGCCTTTTGGTCTTATGTCCGTAGCCGGCGTGCTAAACCACTTGCATCTAGCTTTGATATTAATGGCAATTAAACGTGTGATACTAATCAAATTGCTCATGCATGTAATAATTTTTTTGTTTCTAATTTTTCTAATGAGCAATTAACATCTGACTTATCTGAATCCTCTTGCGTGGAACATGATGGCACTTTTCCTTCTCTTGACTTGATTCAAACTAACACTCGCGAAGTTCTCAAGATGATTAATTAGCTCAAATGTGGTAAAAGTCCCGGTAATGATGGGATCACGTCTACTATGTTGAAGTTATCGGCAATTTATTTTGTCGAGCCACTCACAAGGCTGTTCAATATTTCACTTAAAATAGGGAAAATACCCTCGGACTGGAAAAATACCACCATTGCTCCCATCCACAAGAAAGGTTCAAGATCAAGTATTACTAATTACCGACCGATATCTCTTTGTTCTGTTGTTGGGAAAGTGTTGGAGAGAATTGTTTCGAACAGACTT